ATTATAAAGAATGTATCTGAGGATTGAAGAGTATCCGACCACCGCAGTCCAGCAACTCTTATGTCTGAGTCAGTTCAGCACTGAAATATGTGACTATGACTGTCTATACATGACTAAATCTACCGCTTGTAGATAGCAGCCAATGTATAGTGAAGTTTTCACATTGTCTAATCGGTAAAACGACACGCTATAGTGATAATAATCAGATGCTTTACTGGAAAAATTAAATTATTTTTGCATGATATTTTAAAAGTGATATTTAAACAGAGGTCTGAGTATATGCATAAAACAGCTATATTAATACAAATGCATTTTATCCTTTTTTGTGCTTTAAATATATTCTGTGTTTTTTTTTTTTTTGTGTGTGTGTGTGATTGATATATTTATATATATATAATGGGACCTCTGTAGATATTAATCAGCACAGTGGAGACATACCCTCGCAGTGGACTGTTGAACAGACGTCCATTCAATATACAGTGGTTTGCGACTTTAAATGTACTAGTTAATTCTATACTGTGTAGTCCACCACAGCAGACAAGCATGTGAGGTTTGCGTTTTCGTTCGCGTGTTCGGGTCTACAAGAGTGTGTACATTTGCTTTCCTGCACAACATTTGAGTCACAAAATCTAGCTTGGAGGCATTAACACAACCACTGAGTTTGTACTTTCAACAGCAACGTCATGAGAATATTCACTCCCAGACACGTTCACGTCAGAACCTTTGCCACATTCTGTGCAAATACAACAGAAACAAATTAAATAAAACAACAAAAATGCATTCTGGTTAGAAAAACAAAAAGCAGAATGTCAGAACGACCTCCCCCATACACATACAATTGTACAACTTTGTTTGCAAAGTCATTGTCAGATTTGTCAAAGTAAATGTTCTGCTATCAAACATTCAGCATGAATTTAAATAAGACACTGAAAGAATAATTTCGGAACACTTTCAATCAATACATAACTACATTCACAATACAAATGATCTTTAAAGATCGATGGCGATGAACTATTACACACTTGGGTGGTGCAATATACAATGCTCGTCTTTGGGAATCGTGTTGACTGTGGAAATGCAATTTGTAAAAAAGTATTATTATAATTATTTTAGCTTGTGTGTTCTTAACTATACATTTGTACATCAATCCTTACTGTATGTTGATGCTTTGCTTGCTTACATGTGTGTGCCTTGTGTGGTTTTCATCCCCAAGTAGTTTACTGTTTGATAATCGCACTACTACGACACTCCTGACTGTTTCATATACACATTTGTCATGGCTCCCATCCGAAAAAAACATTTGTTAGCCTGCTTCGACTTAAGGTGTTTTAGTGAACATGGCACTTTTTCATGGAAAAAAAATCTGCTGGTCACTTTTACACTCTTCAGGAGCATAGATCTAATAGCATAATATTGGCATGTAAAGTCTTCTGTCCGAATGCAAATTCATCATTTGAATTCACAACGTGGCGATATAAATGTCTGAGAGAAGTACACTTTCGAGGCAAGAGAACAGAGCTCTTGAAAGATCTGTATTTGTCAGAGATGGTTCACTAAAATCTTTTGGCACAACAACCAATTTAGGTAAACAATATTCAAGACACGTTTGGTCACTTCCGTTGACAGCATTTGCATAACTGTAAGTGATAGTCATGCTGAAATTGAAATTTCTGCAATCATTTACTCGCCCTCATGCTGTTCCAAACCTGACTTTCTTCCACAGGGAGATATTTCAACAATTTCTTTTCTTATCCAAACTTCTAAAATAAAAAAAAGTCCAAAACAAATACACAAACAGTTTGGTACAACATAAGGGAGAGTAAATGATGAGTGATTTGTATTTTTATTTTTGGGTGAACCTTTCTTTTAATTACAGTACAGTGGTTTTCAACCAGAGTCCAACTTAAAATGCTTGAAAGATTAACTTTTAATTAGCATTAAATTAAGGCAATACATACAACAGTACAAATCAGTTTACAGTGCTCAGCATATAGATGTACATCCCTCACAAATCACAAATATCTTTTTTATTTGATATTTTTAATAGGAAGCTTTACAATATTATATTTGTGCATATACATTAGATTAGTCAGTACTGAAGCCAAATCTGGAACTTATCTTACAAAATAACTTACGATAATGGTCCAAAAACTAGTACACCTAAATGTATGTTATACAAAAAAAAATTTAATAAAAATGTTAAAAAGAGAAAAAATCATAAGAAGCAAAAAAAAAGAAAAAAAAAGAAAATATTTTGTAGTTTGTATTTTATTTTTGCAATATTTTGCTTGAATTTAATAGTTTTATCTTTCAATTTCTAAATATATTTGGTGACTAAAATATTATTTTAATAAATATATTTGGTTACTAAATCTGTTATGTTTTAATGCACCAAAATACTTACATATATTCACGGAGAAACGGATAAAAATATAAATTTTCAAAATGGAGTATACTCAATTATGCTGAGCACTGTATATGTATCATAATTAACCCCATTTTTTATTTTGTCTTTGATAAACCTGAAGTAAAAAAATAAAACAAATAAATATCAAGAAATAAGAAAGCCTTATTTCAGATCTTCAGATCTAATCTTGTGGAAAATAGTGACTTAGAGACCTTGTTTACACCTGATATTACAGTGGATTTTGGTCAAGCAGAAAAGGGAGTAATTGCTCTTTATACTTGGCTTTTAAATCTTTTTGAAGTTTATACTTTGCTTTTTAAAGTCTTTTTTGTCCATTTGTTTAGATTACTTCTGTGGATGGATGTTTTGGGGTTTTCTTTCGATCTAATATTTCAAATACGTGTGCAATTTACAAATAATGACAATGTAAACAACTGAAAACAATATAAAGAATATCACCTTTCTGTTTCTACCCTAATAGGCACAAAACTTTATAAAACAATGAAGATTTGCGTTTAAAACAGGACTGGTAAGAGAACACTGTGCTTTTTTACAAAACTTGTTAGACTGCAGGTTTTAAATCCAATCTGGTTAGCATTCTTCAACAACAGGCCCTGTAATGTTTAAAAAGGATTTCATAAGTCAGAGAGGAGGATGTATTGGCTGTTTGAATGCATCTGACCACATGAGTGTTCATACTAGAAAAACAATAAATAAGCCGGTAGCTATGCTCTCTGCAACTCTCACATGGTCGTCCACTGAAGCAAAGCTAAGGCTGTTGTTGGAAGTGGTATTAGTTAGACTAGCAGAGGGTGCTTAACCTGCGGTCTGTGTGGTTCCTAACGCCCCAGTATATTGATGGGGACTCTATACTGCTCAGTGAGTGCCGTGTAATGGCCTCTCATTAAAATTGAGGTCCTGACTCTCTGTGGTCGTTAAAAATCACTGGATGTCCTTCGAAAAAGAGTAGGGGTTTAACCCCAGCATCCTGGCCAAATCTGCCTACTGGCCTCTGTCTATCATGGCCTCCTAACTATTCCCATATCATAACTGGCTTCATCACTCTGTCTCCTCTCCACTAATCAGCTGGTGTGTGGTGTGCAGGCAGGTGCAATATGGCTGCTGTCGCATCCTCCAGGTGGATGCTGCACACTGGCGATGGATGATCCAAAAAATGTGTTAAGCGCTTTGAGTGTCCAGAAAGACGCTATATAAATGTAAGGATTAATTAATAACGGTTAAATGCGAGTGGACAAAAAATCTCATGAAGAAAAGTAACAATTTTGCATATTGTCAGAAAAAAGTTGAATTGATAAGTATTAGAATAAAAAGTATGATTTCAAAAGGAGGTGTGCCACCAAATGTAAACTTGCCAGGCCTTTACCACCCAACCCGCTCCGAGCTAGGATTGAATCAGCGACTTTCTACATCGGTTTCAGTTGCTTTAACAAGGAGGCTAAGGACCATGGCCACTAGCGTATGTTGCTAAGGCACCTTTAGAGGCCAGAGGAGTGAGGTTTACCTGCACAGCATTTCATTTGCTGGCCTCCGCTACACTTAGCCCCCTAAACATCACTCCCATCTGGATCATGGCACCAATGTAACCCCCCCCCCACCCCCAATCCTACACCACCTAACACACTCTGTGCTGGGAACAAACCGGCAACCTTCCGCATGGGAGTTGGCTGCTCTAACAAGGAAGCTAAAGACTGTGACCTTTAGTTTGTCACAAGAGCACCTTTAGAGGTCAGAGGAGTGAGGTTTACCTGCACAGCACTTCACTAGCTGGCCTCAACTACACAAACACCATCCCTAAACCTAGCCTACATTGAGGGGATAAGCAATTTATACTAAAACGTACAAATGTGATAGAAAAAATTCAAATGAATTCGTCACTAAATTAAAAAGTTATGACTTTTCTTTGCCATTTCACATCGCCCACTTGTGATTGGTTTTCAAAACTGTATCTTAGGTGTAAACAGGGCCTTAAAGTCATAATGGCTGAGAACCACTGCTTTTAATTATCTGTAATTCTTATTAATGATTGCAACTGATTTCAGTTGGGGGAACAAAGATCAGAAACATTCACATTTCTGTATCATCAGAATGTCATTTTTGCCTTGGACATACTTCTAGTATTGCTAACATGCCTTCTTTGGAGTCCTCTACACACTGAATATCCAGCGGGCTCTTTATATACCTCAATCTCACTTGCATACTTGATTTAACGTGTGTACCTCTGAGAAGCTGTGTGGAATACTGAGGTCGTGGCATCACTTATTGTACTAGGACAGCTGTGCTGTTTGTTAGCTCTCTACATGATGCTTCTCCTTTAAGTGATTTGCATAGTATGCCTGCTATATGTGCTGAGGTTGTGATGACACACTGCGCTTGAGGTTTCGCATAAATCATCAAAGCTTCACTACACCTCAAGTATTATGTTGAAATGTCAGCTAATCATCTCACGTCAGGCACTATGTTTAGCACAACTAAAATTGGACTTTTCGTCTTCTCTTTGCAGGACGGCCAACTCTACGCGGGATGAGATGGGAGCATGACAGGTTAGTGAACCCTGAGGGCATCATATTGCTTTCACGCAGATGCCACCAGACATTTTGGGACGGACAGGTGGGGGCGGGACGACTGGAACAGCGTGCCTCGCAAAATGCCCATCGTACTGTACTGTATACCTTGCGTCCCGCTCGCCGTGGCTCTGGGTGCTTCACAGACTTGGCAGTGACTGAGAAATGTGAACAGATCACCAAGACAAAATGAGAGGAGACAAAGTGCAAAATAAAACCCAGTGATGGTTACGTTTCCAGTCGATTTTCAGTCTGTCCCTCTCTTGGTGCTGTTCAGTTCAGAGGCCACTATTTTTTTAACAGTCTTCCCAATACCGACTTAAACAATGGAGTCTTTAATCTCCGAGCCTAGTCGTACCCGAGGCCGCGGGCAAGTGGGTGAGATCTCCACATGGCTCTCCTTTAAGTTAACAGTCAACAGTCTCTTTTCAGACTCTGAGAAGCTCTTGCTGTTTTCGGGAGAGGAACATTCGTGGGTTGGAGTGCTGCAGATGTAGTTGTCATTAAGAGTCTGGTAGCCCTTGTGGTCGGACACTGAGGGCGGGATGTTGTTGCCATTTAACGGAAGGCTTTCAGTGTGCTTCCCTGGAATTCGCGGCTTCTTCTGTTGCATGTTAGGACACTCGCCTTCCTTTAACATGGACTTCATCCTATCTCGATTCCTGTACGCCACAAAAAGCGACAGTACTACTAGGGAGAACACGAGTAAGGCACACACAACAATCAGCTCATTCCAGTATGTTTTGGTTTTTTGTGGTGACCACGTTTCGCCAGGTAGAATAGTCTCTCCTTGGGTCACCTGCTGTGTTCGGGAACGTCCAGTCAGGGTGGTGCTTTCGTGCTCCGCTTTAACACAGTAACTGGCCAGAAGTTGCCGATAGTTGCCTTCTTCGGACCAACACGCGTAGTTTTCCTGCCTGTCCACTTGGGCTACAACCACCAGGCCGCCATCAGGACTTGGGTAGACAAAACGCTCTGCGGTATCACTGTACTCCCATCGTCTTGCAGCTAAATTGGATCGCAGTTTGCAGGGTAGAACTGTAAATGTGTTTGCTGGGATTTCTACCACATGGCATGCTGGAACACCTGTGGGTTAGATGGTTTTATTAGTTACTAATAAATCAAACATTTAAACTTGCATATTTGCAAACCACCGTGCAACTGCTTCAATTACTTGCAGACTAACAGAGCTTGTTGCCGGAGGCGTTATGTAAATGCCATAGTGCTTTTGTAACTGGCAGAGCTTGCCTAAGCCTCATGCACTCGATGCTACTTTGTGGTTGGTTGAAGATAAAGTCTTTAAATATTGATTCATGCTGAGTTTAGGTGTTCAAAGCATGGCTGTTACTTACGTGGTCTTCCTGAACGGGGACTGGGCATTTTGCAAATGGCAGTGTTGGCATCTTCTACATCTTGTTGCCATTGACTAGGAAGTAAAAATCAGAGTTATGGCTCAAATTTAATATATAAAGAATTGCTTCAAAAGATACAAAAGTTTAGGGTTAGTAGGATTTTTTTAATGAAATCAATATTTATATTTTCCTAGTATGCATTACAGTTTTTTCAATTGCTTTAACTCAATTCTCAATATTTATATTTTTCAAAACAATAAGTTTAGATCTCTAAGCCCTTAGCTATTGTTGACTTCAAAGTGGCATTTCTAATTGATTTAAGCAAATTGCAAATGCTTTGGCGCATGTGTAGAAACAGCAAGTACAATTGTCTGTCGTTTGGACAAAACTAATTGTCATTGGGCTTGTTGATCAAAACTGATGAGTTGATTCTCATTTAAACTGTCAAACTCTACACAACTTCTCAATCATTTTTTATCGTGTAAGCCATCACACTCACAACTGTTTATTCAATTAACATTTGTATGAGCACATGTTTACACCATAAGTATCTGATATTGACATTGTTTTTAATGTCTGCTAAATTGGTAATTGACCTGTTGCAATACAATTTGTGTTATCTATTTATCATCCAAGTTTGGTAGGAATAGCCCACATCACAATCACTACATTCATAAATTCTGAACTGCAGTGACATGCTTGTGGAAGAGCAATTGGAAGAAGTGTAATCTCGGGCAAGGCCAACAAGAGTGACAGGCTGTCCACCAAAAATATATATTTTTTTTCATGGATGATATTTTGTAGTTTTTGTGTATGTGTGTTTGTGGAAACAGAAGAAATCTGAAATATACAGTATATGGGACAAGCAAGATGGGACAAGCAAGATTGCATTTTGCATGCAATACATTTGTACACAAATAAATGTACTGTATAAATACAAATATTATTTTTTTATGTACTACTGACTCTTCTCAACAAGTATCAGAATTTTTAAAGCTTAATTTCCACGATTGACGGTCTTGGTGAAAAAAACAACTGTTTTGAGCAGTGTGGCTCACACAATGACAAATGCACTTTATGTTTTGGTGGCCTAGGCCAAATTACTGACACTATGACTTGGTTTTGAAGCATGAATGAAATGTTTTGGAGGAGTAACTACATTTTGCAGACATGTGATAAAGTTCTGAAGTTCCAGCAAACAGTTAAGATTTGCACTCACAGTTTAGAGAATGTTAAGACTATTTTGAAAAAATGTGTCAAAGCAACTGAGAAAACCTGTAATACCAACATGTATTCTTTTGGTTTCTCAGCCCAATAATAATAATTAAAAAAAAGAGTACAGATTAAAAGAATATATAGTTATCTGTATTGGGCTATTGACAATTACAAAAAACAAAAACATCAATATCTACATGTTCTAAAGAAGCTTTATTTATTTTAAATAAATGCTTTTATTTTGAACTTCTTATTCGTTTTTTTTAAATATATATGTTTAAATGAAAATTAGTTTCATCTTAAACTGTCCTGATTATAATAAATATAATTAAATGTCAATGCTGTCAAATTGAAGTAATATGATAACAAAAATCATGACAAACAAAAATCTTTTTAAATATCAGAAAATGTGATAAAAAATTGTTTGATATTTAAAATAATATGGTTGAAATGCATGATAATTAAATTAATAATGTACTTTTATACAATAGTTTTATATATATTTTTTTCATCTAATTTTTTTTAATATATACTAAACATATTTGTTTTAGGATTATGATACACTTTTATTCATTCTGAAAAAAATATGTATATAAAATATGTGTCATACATATATATGTGTGTGTGTGTGTGTGTGTGTGTGTGTGTGTGTGTGTGTGTGTGTGTGTGTGTGTGTGTGTGTGTGTGTGTGTGTGTGTGTGTGTATGTGTGTGTGTCTATATATATGTATTTAATCTAAATCTGTCCTTATTATAATAAATAAACATAAATTAATATGTCAATGCTGTCAAATTGAAGTAACATGGTGCATCCAAAATGCAGAGAGAAAAAAGCCTGAAAGTCTCAATTAATGTGTCTCAAGGACAAACGAATAATTTATTATTTTAAATATCAGTGAAATTTCATGTAAATTTGGTTGATATTTAAAATATTATGGTTGCAATACATGATATACAGTTGAAGTCAGAATTATTTGCTAACTTTGATTTTTTTTCTTTTTTAAATATTTCCCAAATTATGTTTAACAGAGAAAGGATTATTTCACAGTATGTCTGATATTTTTTCTTCTAGAGAAAGTCTACCTTGTTTTATTTTAATTTTATTTTAGCTAGAATAAAAGCAGATTTTTATTTTTTAAAAACCATTTTAGGATCAAAATTATTAGCCCCTTTAAACTGTATTTTTTCAGATTATCTACAGAACAAACCATTGTTATACAATAACTTGTCTAATTACCCTAACCTGCGTAGTTAACCTAATAAACATAGTTAAGCCTTTAAATGTCACTTTAAGCTGTATAGAAGTGTCTTGAAAAATATTTAGTGAAATATTATCTACTGTCATCATGACAAAGGTAAAATAAATCAGTTATTGTAAATGAGTTATTAAAACTATTATGTTTAAAAATGTGTTGAAGAAATCTTCTCTTGATTAAACAGACATTGGGGAAAAAAATTAACAAGGGGATAATAATTCTGACTTCAACTGTATCTAAATGAATAACCTACTCTGAGGTTTATAAATGATTTTTTTTTATTTAATTTTTTTTTCAATATTTTTAAACGTATTTGTTTCAAAATAACGTTAGACTCATTAGTAGATTTTTTTTTTCCTGTGGTACTTGCATTCATGAATTTTCTAAACTTGTTAGTATGCTGATTGGTGTGCATGCAGTAGTTCAACAAGTAACATAAAAATACTAACCTCTTAGAGGACGCATGCTTGACATTAGAACACTGCTTCCCTGTCCAGGCGCAGTATGGGTCTCTAGACAGCACACACTCTCCACAGCTCTGGTAGTTAGAGCAGTTGGCAAGAGGGATTTCCACCAGCCCAGAATAGCTGGACACAAACAACAGTCCCTGTAGAAAATGCAAACAAAACAGAAATGAGACACTTTCTTAAAACAAACAATCATACTTCCAGTGCAGAAAGCAGCTTGGTACACATACAGTAAATGCTAATAGATGATAATTGCAGTGAAAGCGGTATTAATCCTTTTTAAAATAGTTCTTACAGTGTAACGCATAGACAGAGTACAATATAGACAGAGCAGACACTGTTTGTTTCCCATCTGTTCGCTTTTCCCAAGAGAGAAAACATGGACGCAATTATCTCCTTTCCAGGCCTCTGTATCTCTACAGCTGAAGGGTCTCTTTGTCGGCCATGCAGTCATTTCACTAAAGCATTACGTTCTCTAGTGTGCATAACAAGTACAAAGAATGTAAATGAGTTTAAGAAGAAAATGAAGTACCTTCTCATCATCCAGTTCGATGTGCTGCACGGATTGAGGCTCAGGAAAAATCACCAGCTCTTCAATGATATACATCTTGTTTTTAACGTTGATGGCTTTGTGGATTCTGCCGTCATCTAAAACATAAGCCAAATTGATGTGAGATGATGTGCTTGAGGGCTTGGGTCATTTTGTTGACATGCTGCAAGTGGAAAGTGGCTTGTTGCCATTCAGCAAGGCTAAGAAATGAAGTCTAGCTTAGTGGGAAATGAAAAGAACTCATGAAACTCTTTGAAGCTGGAAGAAAAACAAGATTCTTTGTACTACGCACTATTTGATGCATACATTTTAAGGCCTCTAAATGATCAATAGAATGCTGAAAATCCTGTTATAAAATCTACTAATTGGTTTCTGCCCTCTGATAATTTTCAAGCAAGTAAAAGAGCTTTTGATAAATTCTCAATCTTATTAACTGGAAAAATCTGCACCTTCAGGTCGTGGTTCACATTTTGTTACTGAGTTTTAAAAAGTGTACCTTTATAAACAGAATATACAGTGGGTGATACTTTAAAAGGAGCATTACTGTCGCGAGTCATACCGCTGCCCCACTAAAGGAGTAAAACCTCGACAAACGACAAGCGACAAACCGAAAGTCATTTATTTCCAATGGAGAGTCATCCAGGAGCTGCATGGAATTTCGATTATCTCCATATGAGGAACATTCAGGTCCGATTTAAGCTGCGGATATGTTAGTACTAAATATTAAACGAAGTACAAATGAAGAGATGTATTACAGTGTTGTCCAAGCAGGTCCGTGCACGCCAGATGAGAAATGGTACTTTTTTCATTATTTTTCGAATCAGAAAAAAGTCTACATTAAAAAATGAAATTCTATTTATAAACGAGTAATAAAAAAAGATAATTTGTATGTTGTTTCCACAATTACCCCAAAATTTTAAGTGCTATATGAGTTTCTAGTATTCATCCATTTAACCACAGTGAACTCATGAAGAACAAAGGCTCTTGCTTTTGCACTCCTTTATTTCAAACACTGCGAGAACAGCTTCTTTCCCATGGTGCATGACAAAACTGACAATTCTGTGCGACAGCCACAAGGGGGCGTATTCTGACAGTAAAGTCCAAGGCCCAATCTCAATTCTTTTTTTGTACCCCTACCCCTTCCCCTTGGCCCTTACAACCGAGGGTAAAGGGGAAGGGCTTTAAAAATTTCCCTTAAGAATTGGGACAGCACTACAACACCTGCACACATCATCGCAATCTCCTGCTTCATGTGAGATCAGACGATCGTGACTGCTATAGTTATTCCAATTGTGTTATTTATTAATATTTATCTTCAGGAAATAACTGAAGGCATATATTATGTTATCATAACAATATAATGTGGCAATAAGATCGTAACTGTACTGTGTATTTAGACAGTGGCCATATTCATCAATGTAAACACACCAAAAACAACATTAACATTATAGCGGACACTGTAAAAAGCTCATTCCCAGCCACTAGACATTACTGACAGGGTATTCGAGTGTCAGAATGTTGTGGGACTGCTGTACAGGAGTTAGGGATTATAGAACGCGAAATTTAGCATTTAAAAAAAAAGCATAACGGTAAAACATGAACGCGATTATGAATACAGTATATTAAAACGTGTTTTTCTGTCATAAAAATTCGTAATAATGACAAAAAATACTAATTTGTGGATCTCCTTACTTCCGGGTTCAGCAATACTGCCGTTGTGGCAGGTGCATTCTGGGAAATTTTCTTACCCCTTGGTTTCAAGTGTGGTCCTGAAAAATCTTCGTTCGAAGGGCTATTCACCCCTTCCCCTTAGTCCCACGCCTTCAAGCTAAAGAGAATTGGGACACTTTGGGAAGCGGAAGGACTAAGGGGTAGAATTGGGATTGGGCCCAAATGTCATGTGCAAAGGTGGCCTTAGAACATGTTTTTAGGTAGAACCGCAGTTTGCGACTATGCCTGCCAGGGGACACAAAAGTACAGGATGCGAACAGACAGAAATATACAGTAGCTGTAAATACCCTGCTACTTGAGAATGAAGATGAAATAATGAGACAAAGCATTATCATTCCTTTATTAATCATTAAAAATGTGTTAACAAGCACTATTGTAAATGTGTTAAGTGAAGTGAGGATTCATTTTGGAAAGTAAATTAAAAGAAATAAAAGAAAGCTAAAATGAAAGTACAAACATACATAAGTGGATCTAAATAAATAAAATAAAATAAATAAATAAAGCAGTGTTTTAGCCTAAATACAGAGAGATGTACAGTATTTGTTATTTTAAAGTGAGGACTACACTCAATAAATTTTTCATTTACAGTTTTCATCTACATTTTCTTTGTTGATTATATTTTACCATGTTGCTTGATTTCTTAGTTTGATTTCCCAAGTTTAAAGTTCTTGAAATCTCTTATAGTTATGCTCTAATGTAGATTGGGGCAAGAATCTGTGTTAGACGGGTTTAACTAATATTTAACTGGTCGCAGTTTTTCAGTTATGGTTGGTGACTTCTCTTCACCTGCCAACCCTTTCACCTGTGGTGTGCCTCAGGCATCCATTTTGGGCCCTTTTTTGTTCTCTTTGTACATGCTGCCATTAGGTTCAGTTATTTTAAACCACAATGTCTCTTTTCATTTGTATGCTAAAGATGTACAGTTTTATATTTCTGTTAAGCCAAACTTTTTAGATTCACTTGATTATTTTAGCAAATGTTTTAATGATATTAGGATATGGCTGTCACAAAATGTTCTCTGCCTAAATGAAGATGAAACAGAGTGTATTCTGTCTGTCAATTCTAAGAGGTCAACCATTTCATCTCCAGTGCATCTGGCTCAGTTTCCTCGCTTCAGTTATGTGGTAAAAAACTTGGGTGTGAGACTAGACAGTAGTCTAAAATTTAATAAGCAGATTGATTCCGTGATTAAAGCACGATTTTTTTTCAGCTTCACCTTCTCTCTCAAGTCAAGCCCTTCCTGAGCAAGGTTTATCTTGAGAAAGCATCCATACTTTTGTTAGTTCGTGTTTGGACTACTGTAATGCACTTTATGTTGGAGTTAACCAGTCATGTCTTCATCAATTACATCTGTTAACTAACCGTCAGAAAAGTGAACACATTACAACAATTCTCTACTCCATGCACTGGCTCCCTGTTAAGTTGAGAATTGATTTTAAAATTTTGATGTCTGTTTTTAATGCCATAATTGGCCTTGTTCCTATTTATTTATGCAAAATTTGGCAAATGCACAAACCCAGCAGAGCTCTGCAATCTGCTGACCAATTTCTGCGTGTATCCCTCGGTCAAGATACAAGCAGTGGGGTGATTGCTCTTCTGCAGAGGCAGTTCCTAAACTCTGGAATACCCTTCCTACTGAGCTTAAGACCCACTTGTTTGAATTGGCTTTTTAATGCATAGTACTGACATTGTGTTATGTTTTAATGTTTGTTGGATTGTATTGATATTTTTGTACTGTTTTGCATCGTCTCCTTTTCTGTTGTGTTGTATAATTTGCTTTTACTTGTGTAAAGCACTTTGGTCAACAGTGGTTGTTGTAAAGTGCTATATAAATTAAAAGTTGATTGATTATGTATGATTGAGTATGACATCAGATTTGCTCAGGTGTACTGTATAATGGGCTTTACACAAGCTCTAAACAAGAAGTTAAATCATATCTCAATCTGGCAAGCTTAATATTAAGAACCATACAGTAAGTATTAGGTCAAGCCTAGCCTAGTTTTACAGGACTGTCTGTGCTATATTCAAATTTAGTTCTCAATTATTGTAATGATCAACAATATGATTGAAAATAAATTAAATATGTAAACAAATTATAAAAGAGCATTAGATTGTAAAACTGTACAGATTAACCATCTACATGCTTGACACCTTGTACTGTCCACTCTTTGATTTTGATTAATGTAACATGCACCTTTCTTAAAGCTGACCAGGAACAATGATTATTCTGAAAATCTCTATACAAATAAACTTAGATTGAATATGCTCGGAGTGTTAAGCTGCATATGCATGTGTGGTGGTGTAAGAGCTCACCTGTGCCAATGAAAAGCACATCATAGGTCTTGTGGAGAGCCTGTACTCTGTGCACAGCGAGCTGCGTGTAGCGCACATTTCGTTTCAACAGCAGAGGCTGACTGCGAATCACATTATCCATGAGGAAGTGGTCTTTCACAAAGTTCAGGACTCTATCAGGCATGTGCAGGGAAGAGGAGATCCCCTGGGCGCGGGCCGTGTTAGTGATGCACTGTGGGAAGATGGGGAAAAAAGATGCCTCAGAAACTGTGTCTTTGCCTGTCTCATGGCATCTCTGACTCAGTGATATTTGGTGCCTTTGGTATTTGGTAGCAGAGTGAATACAAATCAATCTAACTTTCAACACAAACTCCAAAGTCAGATGAATTTTATTGAAAAGTTTTTCAGAAAATACTCAGATGACCCAAACTCTTGGTCAAATAAGCTCTGGGCTAGATTCTGATAGCGTGAAATTTCATTGGAACTGATCGCCAATATATATATTTTTTCTGTATATCATTACAAAAATGTATTTCCTGTTTTTATTATTATGGCGGCTTGGGAAAGTCAATATACTGTTATACTACATTATACTACGTTATTATTCTTCCGTCTTCTTAGACTATTTTAGGAACGCATCTCCTCCTATGCTGTTCATACTATGACCACCAAACTAACTTAAAACCTCCAAACTATACTGAATTAAGTTGCTTTATCTTTTCCGACTGATCCGACTTATGGTTTTCTGAAAACTGTCCCGGAATAATTGGAAAAGTCCCATTGACTTTACAATAGACAGAACTTTGTGACCTCATAGCTGCACCAGCCTGTCATACAGACTTAAGTTAGGCTCATTTAACTCAGACTACCGATCTGACAATCACTGATGACCTTTCAACTAACTAGCCACACCCTAGCAACCACTTACGGGACTCTAGCAACTGTCCCATATACTTCCATTATGAAAAAAAAAAAAAAAAAACTGCCATGCCATCCCTGCTAAAAAAATCCAGCTAAAACCAGCCTAGGCTGGTTTAAGCTGTTTTTTTCTAGGCTGGTTTAAGCTGTTTTTTTCAGTAGGGATTGACTTTACATTGGACATACTAACAAACCAATTCATACAAACATTAGCCCCTTTCACACAGTGATACCGGTAAATATCCGGAAAATTTACGGAACGACTTTACCGGTATATACAAAAAAGCGCTGTTCACACAGGCGAGGACGTTACGGAAATTTTCCGGAAAAGAGCATTCACACATCCATTCCAAAATACCGGTAAATTCTGACATCATTCACCACAAATGAGCTTTAAACGGCTGCGCTTGTATTTGTAAACATTTGACTAAATTACAAACTCTTTTGATGATCAATATTGTAAACAACTTTCACTGGATCATATTCGCATGTCGAGATGTTCATAATATGTGCGTGTGCTGACGCTCACAGGCTGTTTCATGGGCACACGCAAAGCTTGAAGGTAAACAAACAACGGCTTATCATAAGCATCTTATCGATGATTATTTGCACAGTTGGCATTAAGAAGAACATATAGACGTTATCTGACTAACTTCTAGCAGCTAAATGTGTCTGGAAAAATATTCAAAGGCTTTTATTCTCACAAACCGCGCGGACGTAAATGCGTCTGACTGTTGTGATTGGCTAAAGCAGAAGTCTTACGTCAGCACGTTCTAGACGTGCACGAGCTTATTCCGGAAATCTTCCTTCTGCGTTCACACAGCGCAGCATTCCGGCAAATTGCCGGTAATGTTACAACTTCTCTTTCCGGAAAATAGCCAGAACGAATTTACCGGTATTTTCAAAAAGGACCTGTTCACACATACAACCTTTCCGGAAAATTGCCGGTAATTTTCCGGAAAGGTCTGTATGTGTGAAAGGGGCTATTGTACCAGTCCATACTGGAAACATACAACATACCAATCTATACTAAAAATATACTAACAAACATATCAACATGCTAATTTATACTAGAAAGATGCTAATTCATACTATAAAATAATGCTAAAAACATTCTAATTTAGGCTAGAAACATGCTAGCAACTTGCTAGAACCGTGCTAATTTATTTTAGCAACTGCCTAGCAACTAATCAGAACAACTTAACAACCATCTAGCAACACCTTAGTAACTACTCAGAACACCCTAACAACCATTCAGAACACCCTAGCAACCACTTAGCAACACATTAACAACCACTCAGAACCACCATCAACATCCTAGCAAGAAACATGTCAATCCATACTAAAAAATATGCTATAGTTATAACTTCAAACTTCTTAAAAACTACTTCAGTTATTTAAACTTTGAACTACTTCAAACTTTCAGACTCTGCTTTTTCAAGTCACCATAAAGTTTGTCTATGAACTTTAATTTTCTAGTTATTAGTATTATTAGTAAAAGTATTACAGACTTGTTGTGTGTGTTAGAAAACATATATCCATGCACATCATTTATTTATTGATTAATTGATTTATTTTTTTTGCAGTAGCAAATGTCACTGATCCAGTCATTTTCAAATGAACACAATCATGTCCTGTCTTTCCTTTTTTCATTAATCATGACAGTTTTGATGCCAAATGTGTCTGTGTTTGTATATATACTGAAGACAAAATCATTAGCACTCTGGTAAAATGTTAATTCTTTTTCAAATATTTTCAATTTGATTCCCCCAAAATATATCCCCTAACATATATTTTTAAACATAATAGTTTTATTAACTAATTTCTTTTGTCTTTGCTATTATGACAGTACATAATACTTTACTAGTTATTTTGGAAGATACCAGTGTTCAGCTTAACCTTGTTAAGCCTTTAAATTGGTTTGCGTAAGTAGGTTAATTAAGTTGGGGTAATTAGGCAAGTCATTGGACAACAGTGGTTTGTTCTGTAACCAGTTGAGGAATATAATTTCTTAAGGAGGCTAATATATTATTACTTACGGCTCCAGGTCTGGGTTCTGGCACTGGATGGTTGTAGGTGTACCACTGCTGCGTCTCGCGATTAACTTCCCGGTAACGTCCATTAAACGCCTCTTCAACTTGGTCCATAGTGAAAGCACATACAGCTGAGCTCCCTGAAGCACCTTTGTACCTGCACACGAACACAGCATTCATTGCATTCAGTCTTCATATGCAAAGTCCCTAAACAATGCTGAGTCTGTCTAACTGTTTCTCTGCTTTAAAACACATCATTCACTCTATAAAGAAACTCATAAAGGTTTATACTAGTGCTGCACAATAATGGAAAAATTGCAATATACAGTTGAAGTCAAAATTATTAGCCCCCTTTGATTTTTTTCTTCTTTTTTTTCTCTTTGGCTAGAATAAAAACCTACTTGCCTAGTTACAGTTGACTTCAACTGTATATATATTTTATTTCTGCATTATGCGATATTGCTATCTGACTTTATTGCAATATGAATACAATTTCACCAAATGAATTAAATAGCTCTATTTGGAAAGTGATTAATTTAGACTGATTGGAATGATTTTGTAGGGGAGTGAATCATGCTTAAAATATAATAAACAAACTATAATCAGGGGTATCACGGTGGCTCAGTGGTTAGCACTGTCACCTCACTGCAAGAAGTTCACTGGTTTGAGTCAAGGCTGGACCAGTTGGCATTTCTGTGTGGAATTTGCATGTTCTGCCTGTGTTTGCATGGGTTTCTGGTTTCCGGTTTCTCCGGGTGCTCTGGTTTCCCCCATAGCCTAAAGACGTGCAGTGTACGTGAATTGGGTAAACAAAATTGGCCTTAGTGTGTGAATGTGAGAGCATATGTATGCTTCCGAGAACTGGGTTAGGGTTGGAGGGGTATCTGCTGTGTAAAACATATGCTGTCTAAATTGGCGATGTGAATGAATGGTGTATATAGAGTTATAAGACAACAGGAGGGTTTAAAACACATGCGAATAATAAACATTCACGCTCCTATACTTCTGCAGTGGTTCCACAAATCCCCTGTTTTCTGAGTTATGGCTTGTGCTTAACTATAATCCCAACATATAAATTCAATATTTCAGATCCCACATTGAGACTATTGCAGATATTCACAATGTACTATTTGATGCTGAAGCAATATATCGTGCTACCCTATAGTTTATAATTATCTGAGGATGAATAAACAGAGAGTAAATAAATATTTAGTTGAACTGTCCCTTTAAACACACAGTTACAGACCCTCAAAAATCAGACTGAACACAAAATGCAAATATGTCTTTAACATAACAGGTGCGTAGGCTATTCTGAGTCTCGCTGACATCTCCTGCCTGTCCTGTATGGTTTGCTCCTATGTTAATGCACTCCAATCAATAGCCACAACTCCCACTCTAAGTACAGCAAAAGGAGTCTGGTTGAGTGCCAGGCAGGGTTCAATAACTGAAATGGAAACTGAATTTCTTTCTGAAAGGTTTAAGTAACACAAACATCCTGTAGCATAATAAAGCGTAATATGTTACCACTGTGAGGTGAAGACTCCATAAAACATGGTTTTCTTCCAGTCTTCTTTGCTGGGCGTCAGTACAAACATGTCTTGGATGATGTTGAAGGGGAAGCCATCGTCAGGCAGTGAACACAGGAGTTGGGCTTTCAGAAAGGTCGTCCATTTCTTCTGAAGAACCCTCTCTCCACCTTTATCACCCTGTGACAATACATAGATAGAGAAATAAGGGTTATTTTACTGTTATATTATAATATTTACTATTATACAATTCTGTGATTTCACTGTGCAGTATTTCTTAATTTTTTAATTGGATTAGCTTTTATTTAGTAATGTAACATTTCATTAATTTTATATTCGTTTTAAAATTAGATTTTTTTAATTACAAATAAACACAAAAACACAGCTCAATGTTACTGTGTAATTCGGTATAATTTCAATTTTAGTAATTGTATGTGCTTGTCATTTCACTACTCATAAAACGTTTATATTTAGCTTTCATTCGCTTTAGCAACTGTTTAAATGGCAACTCTTTAACCCCTTTTCAAGATTTAACAAGTCTTTGGTGTCTCCAGAATTTGTCTGTAATGTTTCAGCTCAAAATAACTATCAGATTATTTATTATACCTTTTTAAATCTGGGAAATTTGAGCTGTTTGAACATTCTAGCTGTTTTTGTGGCCTATGTCTTTAATGCAAATAAGCTGGTTCTCCCCGCCCACCATTCCCAGTGCCAGAGATCTCTGTATCATTCACGTTACGTAGATAAACAGCACAGTGACAGACAAGAATTAAGCACATCTCCCTTACTACATCAGAAACTTTCCCAACTGTTAAATCAAGCCTTTCTTCAATGATGAGTCACACACAATATTATTATGCAGTTTGCATGAGTGCACACACACAAGCGTTTAGTTTTTGCGCAACAAATGTGACAGGATACATGTTAATATGCATTGCTTTATGGACATCCGTTATGTAAATGTACAAAATAAACCTGTCCACAAACCGGAATTGAAGCGTCGTCTTTTATAATTGTACTGATATATGAAATATGCTGCTGTGGTGATGAATTACAAAGTGATTTTACTGTATTTATTACAAACTTGCACTGTTTTAAAAATGTTTTAAACTTGTACAACTCATATGAGATGAGCAGAGAGAGGTAATTATTTAATCCCAGTTGCTTTGCACACGTTCTGTCTTGTGGATATTATACACGTTACTACAGAGGCATGTTAATATATCTGCCAAACGATTCGGAGGGTGGAGGAACCACATCACATTGCAGTGGGCCTCAAAATGGGAGGAAATAGAATCCTATTTTACTGTCAGGAAATAAAAAATAAAAAAGAGATCTATTGTGTTTATGTCAGTCTAGTTTGATTGTGGACACACTATACCTACACACATTTCTGTCTAAACAGCTTCCAAAAGTAGATTTTTTTTTTTTGTCATAGATGCACTTAAACTTAATATCTTAGTAACTAAAAATAATGGTAAGACTTTATTTTTATGGTCCCTATGGCACAATATGTTGACTAAAAGTTGCATTGCAACTACATGCCAATTACTCCTCATTTAAGTATTAGTAGACTGTTTGCTTAATATCTGTTGATACTGCTCCTTCAACACATTTAACTAATTATTATAAGATACTTTCTAAGTACGTCAACTTACTCCAACCCTAACCCAAACCTAAAAGTCTATTTATAATCTATTGGGAATTAGTTGGCATGTAGATGCAATGTAACTTAAATTCAACAAAATGCGCTTAAGGGGCCATTAAAATAAAGTGATACCTAATTAATAATAAAACATTAGTAATAATGTTTACCTCATACAATATCATTACTTATCTATACTAACTCGATAAGAATAAATATTACAGTAAGTAATAACATGTTTATATTTCATAATTTAAAAAAAACTATATAACACTTTAAAATTCAACTGATTTAAAAAAAAAAAAAAAGTTAAATAAGCTTTTTTATTGGGCTAAAATAATTTGTTTCCCATGAAATCTTTAGTTAAGCTTTAAGTGTGAATGCAACAAGATGAACATATTATGCAAAGACTTGTTATGACAATTTTTGACCACAAGAGGGAACTAAAGGCTGCTGACTGTGCCAACAAACTGGAGCATCTGCCAATGGAAAGGCTGATCAACATTGAGCGAAATCTGTTACATACTCTCTTACGTAAAGATTTAGAATTGGACAGGGACTGCAGCCTCTATCACATGTTGTGCATTAAGTGAGTAGAGCAATGTGTTTTTTCTGATTGGGGCCCTGAGGAAGGCTTTGACTCTGGTTCTTATAAGCAAAGATAATTTAAGGATTTAATGTCCGTTAGAAGAGAAAACAGCCAGTTATGAGAATTGACCCATTAGTGGATAAAGTTATGCATCTGTTTTGCTTTTAATGTAACATAATACTTAAATGGATAGTTTTACCAAAAAAAAAATCATTTACTCATCCCATTTGTTTCAAACCTGTTGTTTGGTTCTTCTGTTGAAGATATAGTTGTGATAAAAAATAAAAAAAAACTGCTATTGACTTTAATAGTGTTTTTTTTTTTTTTTTTTAAATGTTTTTTTTAAATGTCTGTGGCTCCTTACACCCCCCCCCCCCCCAACATTCTTAGTTTAGAACATCTTGTTTTGTGTTCAACAGAAGAAAGACACTTCTTGAGTGTGAGTAAATGGTGAGGACTTTATCTCTTTAAGAAAAGAAAAAGAAAATACATGTTGTACAATGCAAAGAATGCCTTTCTTACTTAGAGATTTTGTCTTGTTTCTAGTCCAAACATCCAAACATTCATAAATTTAGAAGCATTTTCAAAACAAGCAAAAAAATTTGATTTGTTATGCAAGTCTTGTTATGCATATGCTGATAGTATATACAAAGAGAGAGTAATAAATAAGACTTTTATGAATGTCAATGATGAGAGACATCCTTTATCAAACACCTTTCAATTATTACCATCAGGTCATCGATATTTTGTTCCCAGGTGTGTAAGAAATAGGAATTAATTATCATTAATTATCTCAAGCAATTAGGTTTTTAAATTCCTCCTCCCTCAGTTGATGGCTAGTAGACCAGATATTTATTTAGAGTAGGGGTACCATGTTTTTAAATAACATATATATATATATATACATATATACATAACATATATATATATATATATAATATATTTATTGTTTTAAAATGACATATATTATCATTTTCTTTTCAGCTTAGTCCCTTTTATATTCCAGGGTCGCCACAGCGGAATGAACCGCCAACTTATCCAGCACGTTTTAACGCAGCCGATGGCCTTCCGGCCGCAACCCATCTCTGGGGAACATCCACACACACACTCATTCACACTCATACACAACAGACAATTTAGCTTACTCAATTCACCTGTACTGCATGTCTTTGGAGGGTGGGGGAACCCGGAGCACCCGGAGGAAACCCACGCGAATGCAGGGAGAACATGCAAACTCCAAACAGAAACACCAACTGAACCAGCCGAGGCTCGAACCAGCAACCTTTTCGCTGTGAGGCAACAGCACTACCTTCTGTTTTATATACATATGTATTATATACGTTATACTTACTAAATAACTTTCAACACACATCCCATAATTTCTAAAATATCAACCTATACCAAATGGTTAGAATATGTCAGTTTATGGTAAAAGTACTGGAATTATTACATATACCATGGAAAATCTGAAAGTATGACGTGTGTAAATATTCAAGAAAGAAAATATTTCAGACAATTCAGAAGATTCTCATTTAACATCTTTTCTTGTTTTTTTGTTGTTGTTTTTTTGTTGTTTTTTTTACAATAAAACCAAAATCAAGTGTAGTAGTGCAACAGGATTATGTTTGCTAGATTTTTGTTTTGTAAACTAACAATGCTATGTGTGTAAACCATTATTTAAAACTGTCATTTTTGAAATGACTTTAACAGTCATTACTTAAAACAGTCAAAACATGGTCAACCATTTGGGAGAGCAGACAGTTAAAGGGTTTAAACTACCTAATATTCTGTCAGTGGAGTAAGCAAAATAATCTAAAAACAGGCGTATTGTGCTTACCCCATTGGCAGATTATTTTGCGTGTTTTAATGAAAATCTTGCTTAATTTTGACTCTTTTTAAAAATTAAAACTATTTATTTTTTACATGTCAATAAAATGGTTCCTAATTGAGGTATTTACAGATATTTATACTAGAAACCAGACAAAACTTTTAAGTAAAAAAAAAAAAGCTTTTTTTGTGATTATAAGTCTAAATCTTCTTTTCATAAACAAACCTTTCTTATATGCGTTTCAGTTCAAGCCAAATTTGGTGCTCATGTATGTCTACAAAGACACTACTGAACTGCCGAAGACAAGTTGAACTAAATGTAACACAAATATTAGTTTAAAACTGAATAGCCAACATGATCTAAAGAGAAAAAGACATTTAGAAAATCATAAATTACAAAAAAAGGGATGCAGGATAATAAACCCTATGACACAGGTAAAGAAGAACAAAGCCACACCATGAATCAACTAAATTTTTTTTTGGTTTTTTAAGGCAGCTTCAAGCTGAACTTCATACGAACACCTGAAAAAACAAATGACTAGAGAGATAAAATTAAAGCCAAGATGTTTGTGCAAAGAAAGCAGGACAGAGAAACAGACAAATGTGAAGTACACATGGCCTGAACGACAGCCAGAGGTACGTAAAGCAGAGCTCCCCATAGCACCATATTTATTCATCCATCTCAGCTGTTCTCCAAAGAAAATCAGCTTTCCTCTAATTATAATATTATTGTAATCCAGCACGCAGGGCAACGCCTTCCTTTACCAGCAGGACGGCAACAACACATTCCAATAAAATCTTTTAAAGGGAAACTCCTATATTCATTGAACAGCAGAGTTTTGGCCATGTGAAACTACATCTGAAGGCCACATGCTTTTTACATCATTAAATAGGTAATTTAATAGTTTGATTTCCCAAGATCCTTTCCTTGAAATATGTTAAAGCTAAGCCCTAATTGGGGTTGGGGCAAGAATAAAAAATCCTTTAATGCAATTTTATTATTTATGTGTTGTATCTGGTGTGGACGTCCAAATGTATTTTCGCTGAAATCTTTTAGCATTGCATATGGTTGGAAGACATCTAAGAGCATGCAAGAGTTTTGCCATCTGCCCCTTTAAA